TAGTTCTTCATCAAAACCCTAATTAGTTTCAAACTCTGACTTCAACTGCAAAGAGACAATAAATCCAAAGCTCTTTCCTAGCCACAAATCCAGGATTATACCCGAAATAAGACGGATCTCTACGAGAACCCACTCTGATACCAATTGTAAGTGTATATTGTGGCTAGATATATGTGTTTATGTGCATGTATAGTACGTATGAGCATAAAGGAGGTTTGTTTCCTACATCCCGGGACCACGTCCAGAAACCATTCACTAGAAAAGGCCACAACCTACAATTGCTATATGGTATCTAGCACACATTTGTGCCTACCACTCTTATCTAGATTACAATGGTTAAAGCAACTACTACTAGTCATTGCTCTTATGACGAGCATAGTTCTCTACAACTAAACCTTGAATTTTTTTTATTGAAGAGTAAATATATTCTTATATCTCTAGGGTTAACTAACCTTGAATTTTTTTATTTAGAGTTAAATGGTGGATTCTGGAGGTTTAGGGTTTAAAATATTTAAAAATAGAAAATAAATATTAATTAAAAAAAATAAAACTTTGAAAAATAATTTCAAAAAGTATTTTCGAATTTCAAAAAGAAAATTACAATTTCTTTTTAAAAAAATCGAAAAAATTATAAAAGGAACGAATTTGAAAACATATAATCCGAAACTATTTTTTAAAGTTATGTTTAACTTTTTATTTATTTTTTATTTATTTTATATATTTATAAAGTAAGGGACACAAAAATATTTTGCTTCTTTAATAAAATATCTTTTGATCATTTTCTTTCTTGAATACTATTTTGTGATAAAAACTTAAGAAGTGCTATTGAATATGTATAATAAAAAAAAACTTAAATGTTTATTACACTTGTCATATAATAGTTTATTAATAAGTTAAATTTTTAAATATAATACCTTAGAAAATATATAACATGTTTAAATTTATTGATTAAAAGTTTACCATTTTATAATTTATAACACATTATATTGTATTTTGTAAACACAGAAAACCATTTGTATAATAATAATAAAGAAAGAGTATAATATTATTATTGAATTGGACAATACACAAATATAAAATCTTTGATAAATATTAAATTAGCAAACACAAATTAATTTAGATAAAATTTTAAAAAGATCGATTTCGCGCTTTAAAACACGGGATAAATCTAATATTTTAATTTAAATTTAGTATATTCGGTATTTTCCTTTTATAAAACATACGATAATAAACGTCCATCTTCTTCCATCATGCAATAACACCAGTCCTACTTGTTTGTTTTTCTCTCCTAGAATAGCAAATAACAAATTTTAACTTTGTTTCTGACTTTGTAACCCCTTTAATGCAATGTGGAAAATCAAGTAAAATCATAAACACACAGAGACAATGTTTAGGTTATGGTGGTCTCACTATTGAAATAGTTTTATTAGTTACAAACATGGGTGATTCACATGATTAAACAAGGAAATTTGCAGCAGCTACAGATTCTCCTAGTTAGTGAAAAAGATACACAAGTCATTTTTTATAAATTCAAAAAATATTGAATTCAATAAAAGGTTAGTCCGCGCATGGCACTGATCATCATCTAGTATAAACTATATGAACGAATACAAAATGAATACATTTGGATGTAACATCTAGTATAAACTATATGAACGAATACAAAATGAATACATTTGGATGTAACATCTAGAAGTTGCATTGAGATATTGCACCTAGATGCTTCAACAAAATACAAACATGAACATGGTGTAAATAATTTTATGTTCTCAAAATAAATTTAGCAATTATGATACAACCTTACTTTGTTTAATAATTTACAATGATCAATCGAATGAAATATGAACATTATTATTTAGGATATATGTATATATGTGCATTAAACTGATTAACATATATCTTGCTTACTATTCCCTCGGTTCCCAAAATAAGATCTTTATATTTTTTCTTGTTTTATTAAAATTAAACTGTAAGAGTAAATTATAAATTTAGTTATAACCATTCGTTATATCCTCAATATGTAGGCAAGATATATTTTATGGGGAGCAATACTTAATTACGGTTTAATGATTGTGAGAGAAAAACAGGTAGGTTGATCATGTGTTTTATTTAACACATGTTGAATGTGGAAGTCCCAGCCACCAAGAAACTGATCAAGCGCTACATTATCCAATTCAAATGCATCGCACGTGCGCATCATTGTCTATAAGAAAGTTGACATATGAAGAAAAATTAGACAATTTTGTGGCAGCTTCGTTTCAAGAATCAAGATTAGTCTGGTCAAAACTGAGGAGCTTTATAATTAGTAATCAATCAGTCGGCCAATTCTGAAACTAAGGCCTGTTTTGTTAACTACAAAATAACATATATAAGGTTCCACAAGTAGCTAAATAATTCATAAACAATCAAACTTCATAAAAAAATTCATCGACATGAACAAATGAACCACGGTTTATATGCGGTGGTCGAGATATTTATTGCATGATTTCCATTAGTTTGTTTTAAGAATGAAAAAGTAATTGTAGAGAGGAGCAAATATTCGTGATGTGAGGTGGCAGTTCGAGTGGTGTAAATATTCTATTAGCAAGTGGTTTATGTGATAAGCAAATTGATGGTCGAACCTGACCGTATTCTCGGATATATTCAACTGTAGCATCGGTCCACACACTGACCTCACTCTTCCTAACTTTTAATTCTATCTTATTTCCTAAACAACAAACACATTAATATTGTAATTAGCCTTTAAATAATGGGTTACTCTGATAAGATAAAATATACTAATTCATGAACACCAAAAATATTAATATTGTAATTAGCCTTAATAAATATTCATGAACATCCCGTCACAGCCAGCCTTAAAATAGCATATAACTGGATGTTTTTTTGGACTTTCCCTTGGAATCGGAATATGAGAGAATCGCATTATCTACCGAGTGAATACAATTGGCAAATTGCGGAACAAATGTGTTTTTTTTACCGTGTTATGTTTGGTTTAAATGAAAAGTTAAAATTGTTTTTAATATATATATTTTTATTAATTATTTGAATTTATACACATTCAAGGTCGATAATACTTAATCTTTTAGCGAAAATCTTTTTTAACAATGTTGATTATTTTTTTTTCTAAAATTTGAATCACGATTTTTATTGAAAAGATGTTAATAAATATGTAATCACTAGGTGTTTTGCCCGCACTTGCGGGCTTAAATTTTTTACTAATATCTATAAATAAATATATAATCAATTTATGTAAATTATAATAAATTATAGTTCATAGACTCAAAATATTATATAATAAACTAAACAAATTCTTTCTATATATAAATTTTTTCATCATCATATAAATAATTTTCATTACACAACTTATATGTGAAAATACTCATGAACTTAAAAATTTAGTAATAAATTAATATCATTTTTAGACATAACTAAAAAGTATAAAAAGTTATCTTTAATAATGTTTTGGATAACACAATATAGATTATCTATACATAAATTCTTTGCAAATTGATTTTTCATAATTAAATATATATTAACAAATAGAATTATTTTTCAACGTTAATAAAGACTTTATAACACAATATAAAAAGTTAGATAAAGATAATTATCAAATTCATGAGATTCATCTTTTAATTTAGAATTAATTATATGTTAACAAATATAATTATTTTTCAAGGTTAATAAAGAATTTATCACATAATATAAAAAATAAAATAAGGATAATTATCAAATAAATAAAATTTGTTTTTAATTTATACTTAATTATATATTAACTAATATGATTATTTTTCAAGGTTAATAAATACTTTATAACCCAATATGAAATATTTTTAGATAAAGATAAATCTAAAATCATTGAAATTTGTTTTTTATTTACGTTTAATTATATTAAAAATTGATTATTCATTAAGGATATAAACAATATTAACCGCTCTAACTTTCAAGGTGAAAGTTACAAAATTAATCAGCAAAGTCACTTAAATTTTATAATTGAAAATATATTTTTAAGATAACAATCTAATACAAAAGAATTAACATATTTTCTAAAAATATAATATTATTAACATAAACTCGTTTTTATTATATAATAAATTGTTAAAACATGAAAATAAGCAAAATAACCTAAAATCATGGAGAAGTTGACAACTAAGCAAATTTACTTCTCAAATAATGTTATATATAAACGATATTAACCGCTCTAACTTTCAACGTGAAAGTTACAAAATTAATCAGCAAAGTCACTTAAATTTTATAATTGAAAATATATTTTTAAGATAACAATCTAATACAAAAGAATTAACATATTTTCTAAAAATATAATATTATTAACATAAATTCTTTTTTATTTATAATATATTATTTAAACATGAAAATAAGCAAAATAACCTAAAATCATGGAGAAGTTGACAACTAAGAAAATTTCCTTCTAAAATAATAATTGAAAAATATATTTTTAAGATAACAATCTAATACAAAGGAATTAACATATTTTCTAAAAATATAATATTATTAACATAAATTCGTTTTTGTTATATAATAAATTGTTAAAACATGAAAATAAGCAAAATAACCTAAAATCATGGAGAAGTTGACAACTAAGCAAATTTACTTCTCAAATAATGTTATAGATTATTCAAAGTTTTTCTTCTGACAGTTCTGAGTAAAACCCAAGATTTCGGATTTTTGTAAGATTTAATTCACCTGATAAAAAATAAAACTATCAGAATATACTTACTTGATTTTCATAAAAAATATATACATAAAATATGTATAACACAGTAATAATTTGCATTTAAAAAAAAATAAAGTTAAAATTAATTCGTCGAAAAAAAAAAAGAAAAAAAAAAAAAAGTTAAAATTAATTTAAGTCACAGCCCAGGTACATAACAACCGGTCCTTGTTTACTCACCAAGTCTATAAAAGCTCCACAAGAACCAAATTTCATTTCCAATTGAATTTGGGAACCAAACATTTTCCTCTCAAATCTCATATCCTGAGAGAGAAGAGAATGGCTTCCATGGCTGCCGTCCTCAACAAATCCCCTTTCCTCTCTCAGCCTCTCCCCAAATCCCAATCCTCCCATCTCCCCTTCTCCGCCGTCTCCTTCCCCTCCAAACCACTCCGACAAGGAGTAATCCGTGCTGGTTTGATCGCCCCCGACGGAGGGAAGCTCGTGGAGCTCGTGGTGGAGGAGCCGCGGCGGAGGGAGAAGAAGCACGAGGCGGCGGAGCTTCCTCGCGTGGAGCTGACGGAGATCGACGTGCAGTGGATGCACGTGCTGAGCGAAGGCTGGGCAAGTCCGCTCGGAGGATTCATGAGAGAATCCGAGTTCCTCCAAACTCTTCATTTCAACTCGCTGCGTCTTGACGACGGATCAGTCGTCAACATGTCGGTGCCTATCGTCCTCGCTATTGACGACGAGCAGAAGGCCAGTATCGGCGACTCTAAACGCGTCGCGCTTGTTGGTTCAGATGGTAGCCCCGTCGCTATCCTCAGCGAGTAAGCCTCACTCACTTCTTTTCTTTCTATATGAGCAAAGTGTTTTTTTTGTGTAAAGTTCCAAACTTTAAATTAGTCTAAAATGATACAGATTCATGATGGCATTCTAGATCTGTGATACGTGTCACTCATTTGATACTGACATAGAAGCTGAGTACTTTTTTCTGCTACCTCAAAAAGTTACATAGAATTGGCGAATCAAACTTCTGTTAATAGATTCATTTTGGATCTCATGTCTCTACTGAGTTTGTTTAGTCCATGTGATAGATTTATGATTGAAGTAGGCTTTATAGATTCTTGATTGATCCCTTTAGCTCTCACTCATTTGTATACTGTATGCTTAAAAGTATTCTTGATTGGTCCGTTTAGCTGACACAAAAGCTGCATACTGTATGCTTAAAAGTAGGATTTACGAATCAACCTTATGTTATACAGTTCTTTTGTCAGTATATATATTTTGTATCTTATGCTACTCTCTTGTAGTGAGTTTAGTCGATGTTATAGATTAATGATTGAAGTATGTTATAAGATTATATACTCCTTCCTGAAGCCTTGCTTTTTGTTTGATCAGCATTGAGATTTATAAACATCCCAAGGAAGAGAGAATAGCAAGAACTTGGGGTACGACAGCTCCAGGTTTACCTTATGTAGAAGAAGCTATCACCAACGCTGGAAACTGGCTGATTGGGGGTGATCTTGAGGTTCTTGAGCCTGTCAAGTACAATGATGGCCTTGACCGTTTCAGGCTTTCCCCTGCTGAGCTTCGTAAGGAGCTGGAGAAGCGTGGTGCGGATGCTGTCTTTGCCTTCCAGCTTAGGAACCCGGTTCACAACGGTCACGCCCTTCTTATGACTGATACTAGGAGGAGACTTCTTGAGATGGGATATAAGAACCCTATTCTTTTGCTCCATCCGTTAGGAGGGTACACAAAGGCTGATGATGTTCCTCTGAGTTGGAGGATGAAGCAGCACGAGAAGGTATTATTGATTGTGTGTCTTTAAATGAGAGAAAGAACATTTGCTGTTTTCTTGAAATGCTAAATGGTATATGAATGAATGATGGACAGGTGCTAGAGGATGGTGTTCTTGATCCAGAGACTACAGTTGTTTCCATATTCCCGTCTCCTATGCATTACGCTGGTCCAACGGAAGTGCAGTGGCACGCAAAGGCTAGAATCAATGCTGGTGCTAACTTCTACATCGTGGGTCGTGATCCAGCCGGGATGGGTCACCCTGTAGAGAAACGTGATCTTTACGATGCTGACCATGGAAAGAAAGTACTAAGCATGGCCCCTGGACTCGAAAGACTTAACATCCTTCCTTTCAGGGTATATGAAAACCCAATTCAAAAGTTCCACACCTTTTTTTTTTGTTTTTGGCAGTGTTGAGAGATCTGATTTGTTGGTTTCTATGTCGTCAGGTTGCTGCATATGACAAGACACAAGGAAAAATGGCTTTCTTTGATCCCTTGAGACCTCAAGATTTCTTGTTCATCTCCGGCACTAAGGTAAATTCACTAGCTCCCAATGACAATCCAACATTGTTACGTTCTGCATGGTTTACTGATAAAATCATATCTCTCAGATGCGCACATTGGCCAAGAACAAAGAAAACCCTCCGGATGGATTCATGTGCCCAGGTGGATGGCAAGTTCTGGTTGATTACTATGACAGTTTGACTCCGGCAGGTAAACAACCGGAAGTGGTTCCGGCCTAAGACAAAGACAAAAAACACTGTCTCTGTTTCGTTTCAAGCTGTCTCTGATTTGTATTGTGGACCTTGAGGCAACAGTCTTTGTTGTATAGGAGAAGCCAATATATAAATCTGGCTGGACCTTTTTAAAAAATAAATTCATGAAAGGCTGTTTTTTCCTTATGAAAGTTGTAATATTTGTTCCAACCGGTGAATTTTGTATCATATGAAACGATTGTGTTTATATGGAAACAAAAAGCAGTTTCTTTTGAATTGGTCTGTAGAATGCATTATCAGAATGTGATTACTACATCTGACTAACACTGCCTCTTGGAAGAAAACCACCTTGAGATGTTAATTGGCACTTTTAGTTACTCAATTAGCTCTGTTCCCCCTCTCTTAGCCATGTGATATAGAGAGTATTGCAACAACTCGTATACGAATGTTTCATAGTTACAAGCTGAAACAAAACAAAAAAAGAATGTTGTCAAACTGCCATGGACTGTCATGATTCCAGCAGAAGATCTGGAGCTAGACGCACTTCATCCGGCTTTCTTGGCTCCCAAGAAAGCAACCAAAGAAAGTTAAGAAACTGGATGAACTTCTGGATGTTTTTCTAAACGAATCTCCCCCATTTCAAAAACCGTCGCGATGGAGGATGGCGATAACGGAGCTCTCTTTCGCCACCTTCGTGCCTTGGATTCCCGTCGAGAATCCGATCAATATCTGTAGAATGTGGATTATATCTCCCCATCAAGGTCCATGAGAAAGCATACTTGGCCCATTAGAAGACAGCTCGGTCTGCCCGACTAGAGATCGATGAGTCAGCTCGGCGCGAGACTACTTTAGCCGAGTAGAAGTCGATCATTATCCAAAGGGTTAATGAGTCCCCTTTCATGGGCCAAGCAAAAGCCCACTACGAAAAGCCTGAGAAAGCACACCACATTAGGTCAAAAGGAGAGAAGGAGGTCTGCTATAAAAGGAGAAGGAGGCACAACGAGAAGAGAATCCGAGACTAGACTGATTAGGCGGCAACTTGTATTAGGGTTTTTCCTCTTATTTTTCATGTTCCTTACCGATTAGTCCGTACACCACTCCCGGCTAAGCTCTCTGAGCACTGGTTTACTCCTTGTACTCTTTCTGATTATAAATAAAAATCTTCCTCTTTACATTCACTCGTTCTCACCTTCGTAATAACCTACTGACAAGTCATATCACTCTCTTTACGGATACACAACCGAACTCGGGTCAAAACAATATCGGCTTCTTCCATTCTCAAAAGTGAAACGATAGTCCATTAGTCATTTAGGTGTTAACTGCTACTAAATATCTCAATTTGGTGGTTAGATTTCCAGTTAAGATCGGTGATATATAATATGATTATTTTGTTTAAGTGCTCTCTAAATTAATTGTATATATAATAGTTACAGAATTTTCAATATATATATTTTTATTTTATAATATATAAAAGAACATAAAATAAATAATAAGACATATAATAATTAAAATAAAAGATACCAAATAATTTATATATATAATTCTCATTCCGCGCAAATACGCAGATTTTAACCTAGTATTTTTGTAAATGTCAGTCAAATTTTTAAAATAGGGAAAACTGATAGGCGTAAATCACACATCTAATTGATATGAAACTGAATGAGTTACTCGATAGTTAAGGTGTTACTATTTGTTTGCTAATGCTACTTTTTTAAGTTCGTTTTATAGTTTATAAATTACTAAGCTAGTGTCAATTATTAACATAATTCGATTCATCTGTCTGAGTGTTTTATCTATTAACTGGAAATCTAACCACCAAATTGAGATATTTAGTAGCAGTTAACACCTAAATGACTAATGGACTATCGTTTCACTTTTGAGAATGGAAGAAGCCGATATTGTTTTGACCCGAGTTCGGTCGTGTATTAGTAAAGAGAGTGACATGGCTCGTCGGTAGGTTATTACGAAGGTGAGAACGAATGAATGTAAAGAGGAAGAGTTTTATTTATAATCGGAAATAGTACAAGGAGTAAACCGGTGCTCGGAGAGCTTAACCAGGAGTGGTGTACGAACTAATCGGTAAGCAACAAGGAAAATAAGAGGAAAACCCTAATAAAAGTTACCGCCGAATCAGTCGAGTCTTGGATTTTCTCCGTAATACGCAGCCGAACGTCAGTGATATGGCGGGTGAACGGTGTTCGTAGCGCGGTGGCGAAGACCTTGTCGATTTGTGGTGCGGCGCTCGTGACGTGATGGATCTTCGAGTGGATTTCTTGGAGCGCGAGCTTCAGTTCGACGATTTCTCGAATGGTTTACAGATCTGGATTGCTTCCCGATTGCACAGAGTCGTCCGGGAGTCCAGTCGGCACGATTGGCTGGTTAGCCGGAGTAGGAGTAGGGTTCGTGTTGAAAAGAAATAGTCGGGCGTCGAAAGGTTTCCTGCGGTGTCGTCTGGGTTTGCGAGTACGGCGGCGATACCAGCGAGGTGCTCATTTTCGCCTTTTGAGCTTCTTCCTGTTGAGCGAGATGGGCCATGATGGAATCCATAAAGGTTTCGACGTTCGGGACTGGTGGTGGTGTTTCTTCCGGCTGAACCTCGGAAGGAGCTTCTTCGGGTAACATGTTTGTGTCACACTACTTCGTTCTGAACCAGAAGTGTACAGCTCGTATTACAAGTCAAGAGCACACGATTCTAAAGAAATCCTGTTCGGGAAGTATGCAT